CAGTGAAATTTGGTACTCTGGTCTTTTTATTTTATTCTTTATTAAAACATTATTGTAAAGAAACTGCAAATGAAAATGTCACACTGTGATACACCTGGTATATTATGTACACTCCATGGAAGACCTCACACAAATTGGATGGATGGATAAAGAGAGAGAGAGAGAGAGAGAGAGAGAGAGAGAGAGAGAGAGAGAGAGAGAGAGAGAAAGTGCACATGAAGTAGGGTAGGAAGAGAGGTGGAGGAGATCTGGGAGGATTGGGGAAGGAGTGTGAATATAATCAAAATAATCAGAATTCATTGTGTGAAATTATAAAAGAACCAATAAAAACATTTTTAAAAGTCACACTTCTGGATTAGCCAGAGCCAAAGTCTACCCTTCTTAATGAACTTCTCTACAGTTCAAATATTCATTCTGAAGTGGTAGTGATTTACACAGGACTTTACACTTTTGCTCCATCTTGTTACACTTATCATCCACCATACACAAAAAAAGGAAAAATCCATGACTGAGTTAAAATTAGAAAAACAATTAGCTTTATATCCTCTTTCAGGATTCATGTATTTTATTTGAATTCTGTATAGTCTTTAAAATGAATAGAATAATACCAAGTATATTAGCACTTTGAGAAGTAACAAATTGTAAGTGAAGTGCTTAGCTCCTGGTAGTTCCTCACACATTGTAGCCTCCACAGTGCCCTCTCTCTAGTGATCTCCACCGATAGTGTCTGTCCATGTGTCCGGAGCCTCACTTCTGTGGGTTGTTTGTAGACATCCATCAATGGCTAATGGAGGCAGAGCTGTTGTAGTTTTTTCCAAGTTGTCAGCTTGACAATTTTACATCTACACCTTGTTTCTTCCAGCCTCCTAGTGCACGTGATGGATGCAGAATTTTTCCCCTTTGGTAGTGCTGTACAGAAAGCATCTTGAATACTTTCCTTCCTCTGTTGGTCTCCTCTTAGATGTCCATTATTCCAGGTACAAGGCTTGGATTTCTCAGACGCTGCTTCCCAGCTTCCTGCTCATTTCATTCTGGTGAAGGTCTCTCTCCACAGCTTATTGCAGATGGCTGCAGCTGCAGTTAGTGTTTACAATCTGATGACGAGTTGGAGATTAAGGCTTGTCATCACTATTTAATTAACCTCAAATTAAGCAGTTTCTGGCCCCATTCCATGTCCCCCACAGCCCATCCGGTGCTATCACAGAGTCGCAAGTCCTGACAGATCCAGGCAGCACTGCTGGAGTGGGGCCGCCTCAGCAGCTACTCTGAAGAGGAGCAATTGTTTCTTACTCATGCCCAGTGGCTGACACTCTGTATCCATCCAAAGGAAACATGAAGGGATAGCAAGAAAGGATAGCAGTGTCCAGCTCGGAAGCGTTCCACGTGTAGATTGCAATGGAGAGGAGCACAAGAGTATTTCAGAGACAAAGTTGTAGCTGAAAGTTTTTCTGTGTCCCACCCGATCCACAGCCACTCAGACCCAAGTCAACACACAGAGCCTAATATTAACTAAAACTGCTTGGCCATTAACTCAGGATTACTATTGACTAGCTCTTACACTTAAACTCAGCCCATTTCTGTTAATCTTTATGTCACCAAGTGTTCTGTGGCTTTACCAGTGTGCCATTACATGCCGCTCCCTGGATGGTATGCTGGTGACTCCTGACTCAGCCTTCCTCTTCCCAAAATTCTCCTTGTCTGCTTATCCCACCTATACTTCCTGCCTGGCTACTGGCCAATCAGCATTTTATCTATCAACCAATCAGAGCAACACATTCACAGCACACAGAGCAACATCACCCATCACAGTCAGAAAGTCACTATTTCAGACAAAGCAGTTAGCAGTTTGTAAAACCTGTTCCAAATGCAGAAGCAGTGTATGCCAGCAACAAAGGGGTGAATGGTAATTGCCAGAAAGGAAAGAGGAAAAGTGCGATAGTGCCTCCTCTTTACACCTGCATCTGAAGTGTGACAAGGTGTCTAGTCCTTCAGCTACTGGCCAGATGGGGTGCTTGAGCACTTAATGTGTGGCATGAACGAACTGGTGTGTTCTGTATGTGTAAAGTACATATCAGATTTATGAGACTTACTAGAGAAAATAATTTAATATATAGTTAATTTTTGTTGATTACACATTGAAGTGTTAGTTTTCATGTTTTGAGCAGTAAAATTTCATGTTTTTCTTAATTTTTTCATGCCACCAGTATATGTTTGATAATTGTGTATGTGCTTTGTACTATATTTCTACTAAAATTATTTTAAATTTTATTCACATATGTCAAATATTCAAATCCATTACACATACAAATTATGTGTAATGGATTATTTCATACAAATTAATTAATTAACTTGCAGTTAATTACACTGTAAATATACTATCATTTCCATTTTGGCTAAGATAAAATATGAATGTTTATGTCACAAACTATATGTAGCTTTTAAAATTACATAATATTTTTATGTTGATATACCTTCATTGGTTAATCTAATTTCATATATTGAAAACTTAAGTTATTATTTTTCCTTATTTGTAGGGGACACAGTCTGAAATTCCCTAGTGGATACTTCAAACCACAGATATACCAACTCCTATATTTACTGTTTAATCATATGTATAGACAAATGATTAAGTTTAATTTGTAAATTAGGCATAGTAGGAGATTTGCAAAATAATATAATACAGTGATTATAGTAATACACTACAATAAAAGTTCTGTAAATACACTCTCTCAAAAGATTTTACTGCAATAATTCATACTTCTTGTGATGATATGAGATGACTCATTGTTCTATAATGAGCTGCTGAAATGAGATAAATAGCATAGACATTGTAATATAGCATTAAACTATGACTTAAAGTTTTCTTGAGCAGAAGCATTGCAATTCTACAACATTTGCTCCAATAATTAAGGTTACTAATGCACAATAGCATATACAATATGGATATACTGCACAACATTATTTGTATCTCAGGTGGGATCGAGTTATGATGATATTACATGTGTTCATTTACTTCTAGAACTTTCTATTTAATATTTTTGGTGGATGGAGTTGACAACAAATAACTGAAACCACAGAAGTCAAAAGCTTGGTTGAGGGGTAACGACTGTACAAACCACCCTGAGCACATTTGTTAAAATATATTTGAGCTTATCCTTAATTATGTTCTTAGAATTTATTTCTGCAAGCTAATTGTTTGAAGTCTGCCCTTTCTTATAGGTAGAATGGCTACATAGTAATGGTAGAGTAGTTGCTTGTAGGTGGGTGCTAAAGAGATAAGTACAAATGAGATAAGTACTAACTGTTAGGAACTGCTTTGTTTTCTCTAGTAGAAATAGGTAACCCACCAGACTGAGGGACTACTGGACAGTTACTGAGTGACATATTAACAGTGAAATGAGTAGAGCTAAAAGGACTGGAGAAGATGATGCAGCACCTATGGAAACCTGAATGGGTAAACTGAGAATGCAGTTACCTACACCCAGTGAAAGCCCTAGTGAGGAACTAGAAGAGCATCCATGAGGAACTATAAAACACGGACATTTCCCAAAATCTACAGCTGTGCAATGGGATAAGGGTCAGGGGTGGGAGGTGAGTACCCTAACCTCTGTCCTCCATCCTCTGCGCCCCTCACCATATCTTAGCTCAACAGGAGGAAAGCATGGGAGTGGAGTTCATGAAGTCATGTGAAATCTGGGTGTTGTGGGACATGTAGTTGACACTGAAGCCAGTGAGTTCACGTCCAGCCTGAGCTCATGCTGAAAGCTGTGTCAAAAACAAAGGCAAATTTCTATAGAGAAAAATGTAAACTGGGCATGAAGAGAGGAGTGGAGGAAACAGACTGCCAGCTCTGAATTTGTCCTCTGGTCTAAGGCACTCACCCTGCCCAGCTTTGTTTTGTGTACTTGTAAAGAGCATGTGTAATTATGCTGCCTCCAGAATGTGTGACAGAAATAAACAGAGAAGAACTCTTAGCACAATGATATTTCCTCACTTGTGTTCACCAGTGACTTGCTGGTGCACCAGTATCAACTTTGCACCATGATGCCCACTTAATCACTCCTTAGCGAACCATCATCAAAGTGTACTCATATTTCAGCTTGAATAGCTCTGCACACCATGGTGAGGCAGCCATTTGTGCTCCAAATTATGCATATCAAACTCTAATATTCTGGTTTAAAAAAAATCCACATGATTTTTCATGTAGTTGGATAATTGGCCACATGCTGTTGGCTATGCTCAAAAATGGTCATTTAAGTATCCTTTTATTATTTTTGGCATCTACTGGGAAATTTAAATAGCCACTGCCAATGTTATTTCTATATGGTTTTTGTTTTTTATTTTAATGCTGGAATTGATCAGAGTTTAATAAAATCACTGGGTTGTCAGCTTTATCAAGCTCTACTGGGGATAAACCCGTGAAAACAAGCAAATACTTCTGCATAAGTCAGGGACTTTCACAAGTGCTCCCTAGCAAGTGCAGTTGGATTCACATTGAGTTCATTTACAAGCAGAGCTGAAAGAGCCAGCAGCTTTGGAAAAGATTTTAAACTTTCATTTTCCTTTACTTCTTTCCCTTATAGGTCTATACTAAAAATAAGTGTTAACATTCAGGAGTAAGGGAATCTGAAACGCCCTTTATTAGTTCCTGTGCAGAATAATGAGTAGCTGAGTAGCATAATGTGTAAATGAATGGAGTCATCCTTACCTTACCAGTGGTTTCTTTCACATTCTGGAGTTTCACATATCCTCACCCATCCATTGTCTACAAATGTGAAATCTGAAATTCTAGAAGCAAACACTTTGTAGGTTTTTAAACTGGGCATTTTTTTAAGTGCTATGATGAAAACTCTATGTCACTTAAGATACCAATCATCTGTTTGTGCAGTGTATCCATATTTTATATGCTACTTCCTGTTGAGTCACTTAGAAGCTGTCTCAGTTATCAGATCCACTGGGGAGTAATTCAAGTAATTCAAGTAACCTTTAATTTTACTTACAGTCATCTGAAAGCATAAGACAGGTGATGTGATGTGTCGATATACATATGACAAGAAAAAGCCATGAAATGGTTCTCTGTCAAGTGAGAAAGGAATCTAGAAGAAACCACAGTATATATAAACTGTTTTGTCTTAAGTTTCAGGCATTCACTAGCATTTTGAAACATGTCCAAAGGGTAGACTGCTGTAAATCAAATGAATGAATGTCCTTAAGTTGCCAGGCTCTTCTAGGGGATACAATTATCAGATTAATATCAACTAGGAGAAACACATTATATTTACTAATTATCATAAAGCTCCAGTTAACATTTAGGCTTCTACAGATTATGTCTCTTCATCTTCTCACCAGCCCTGTAAACAGGAGGCCACTTCCTCCAATGAGGACACAGAGGCTCCAGAATGCACCAAGCACTTTCAGTGTGGTGTTCATTGTGTTGTGAGCACAGGGTGGAAATACACATTTGCCTCCAGAGTCTGAGTTCTTAGCTGCTGTCCTCTGCCATTTCTTTCTTAGTCTTTTGTAGTTAATTGGGAGTGTAAGAAAATTGGTAAGAAATAAGAATTCAGGCAAGCCTGTGCAGAGTAAGTGAGACATGGGTTATTCCAGGAAGTTACCTGTGTATTGCAAAAAAGTTCCTTGACTTATTTCTGGAAAACACTGTGTGTGTGTGTGTGTGTGTGTGTGTGTGTGTGTGTGTGTGTGTGTGTGTGT